GTCATGCCAGCTTTGAACTATTTTACATTTTTTCCTCTCTTTATTTATTCATTATTGTTATTCTTACTTATGCACACACGCATATACGTTTTTTTTCTTTTTCTTTTCAATTTTTTTCTTTTTTTTCTTTTTTCTTTTTTTTTTAATCACACCATGGGTGTAGACACCCTGTGGTGAGGTGAGCAGTGCGGAGGGAGACAAGCCACCCCACCCCGGCGCGAAGGACAGTACCGCACGAGTATCATTAGCAGCTTTTATGAAACAATTCGCCGGCTTTAACAGGTAATTTTTTCTATAATGCCCGTAATGTCATAATCACAAATCGAAATTCAATCGGTTGATTGTATATTATAAATATACAGTCGTACATAAAAGTAAATTAAGTGAAAAAAAAGAAATTATAAAATGTACTGACAGGCAAAAATTCCACCCACTTGTTGAAAAGACTTAATTTGTAAATATTTCTATATATTAATCAAATTTTAACGTTTAATAATTGAGTCTTTGTATAGAAAAGTTTAAAAAAATGTAAATTGCTAAGGAAAATGAAAAAAAAAGACGAACAGATAAAATTTATTTTAGATTTTTAATTAACATTTCAATATCGTGTATTTCCCCCTCTTCCTTAATTCAATTTCGAAAAAGAAAGTGGAATGTAACAGGAAGTGATGGAGGTGCAGTTATTTGTCTTTTGAGGTTAGCCCATAAATGTTCGATGAGGTTCAAGTATGGAGAACGGGCTGGCCAGGCTAGGATTGTCGCAGATTTCATCGACGATAGGCAATGCATGATGTTCCAAAATTTCATCCACAGAATGGCCGTCAAACCCTCCATGAACAACAACCAACTCAGTGCGACTCTCCATTGAAATTCCCGCTCGCACCATCACTGAGCTACGTTGAAAGGTTGGCTCTGGGAAAAATTACAGGCTCCGTACCGTTCATTTCGCCTTCTCCATACTCTTTCACGCCCATCTGGAGATTGTAGAGCAAATCTACACTCATCTGTAAAAAGTACAGCAGACCAATCGTTCAAAGACCAATGGTGTTCTTGACCAAATGCGAGCTGTGCAATTCTGTGTGTTCTGGTCCTCTTACAGGACGAAAAGCCATCTGTCCATACTGATTTGATCACCTCCACGCAGTGTGTTCAGAAATTTGGACAATTTGAACTTTCTGAAGCTGATGAATCGCTTAAACAGTAGTAAGGTGCTTGCTGCGTTCAGAAAGGTGCCTGTTACGTTCAAAATGGTGCCTGCTGCGTTCAGAAATTTGGACAAAGTAGGGTGACAGGTTTGCAAAATTCTCAAAGTCAAAATACGGTCATCCTGGTTACTCTAGGGCGTCCAGGATTGGGCCTTCTATGGTAGGAGGACCCACGTTCTCGAAAAGGTCTAACTGTGTCTCACAATGTTTTGTACGGAACTCTGATGGGAGCAGACTCATACCTGATGGAATGTCCATCATCAATAGCACTAAGTGGCATTTTGAAGTTTAAAAATTGAAATTAAGAAAACAAAGATGAAAACTAAACAGTTTAGGGATGGTTAGGGTTATTGCTTCAGTTAGTTGGTTAGTTTATTGCTTCAGAATTCAAACGAGACTGAATAAACATTTGAAATTTCGTAAAGTAAGGATTGAAAAATCCTTTATCCTTGCTTTGGATTAAGGATTAAGTGGGCTTACCTCTAATTCGTATTACCAATTTAAAACATCATAAACAAATATTTATTGATAAAAACAATGTGACAAATTAAGGGCAGAATTTTCTTTTATCGAGAAAATGAAAAAAGTCAAATGGGTGGAATTGTTTGCCTGTCAGTGTATTATCTCAGGCGTCATGATCGACTGGCTGTTGCAAATTGATGTTTTGGGATCAGCGAAGTGGTCCAAGGATGACAATAATAAATGGCAAAACTTGGCAGTAGTGCAATAATGGTCATTCTTGGACCACATCTCTGATCATAAAAATCAATATAAAATATTACTCCATTTACGTTTAGTGGTCTAATTGACCATATTAATTATTTCAATTAATTATTCTTTTTATGTAAGGTCTTGGATGAGATGAAAAAGTTAGTGCCATGAGCGGGATTCGAAAAAACCTATACCGAAAGTCGTGGATTCAAATCCCGCTCATGACACAAACTTTTTCACCTCAACCAAGATCTTGCACCAAAAGAATAATTAATTTAAATAAAATGTTACACAAAGTCAAATGTATACATCCAAGGATAATGACAAATTAAAAGACATTGAGTGTCCAACCTTTAATTTATAAAATTTCGTGCTTGTTTGGCCTTTAGTTTTCAGCAGTGTTTTTCCAGGAGAAACAAATCATAAAGAATAGTCTAATTTTACAATTAGAAAAAGTGGTCCAACATCTCAGAAAATAAATACTAACAAAGCAATTTTCATAGAAAGAAAGTACAACTGTATAAACAGTCAAACAAAACATTTGTTTATTTTAAGCTATATGTTTTTTTTAAAATCATTATACTAGTTAAAACATACATATTTTGATGTAAACCAAACTAAACAAGATCAGAAATTCATTAGTTTTAATAAAAATATTTAATTAGGGTGGTTTGAAAGAAAATTCGCCAACACACTAGAAAATGATTATTCACCACTCATTTTATTACAGTTCAAATAGGTCAAATTACCCCAAATGAACAGTTAAGAATACGAGAACATACATAATAATTTAGAATTTAAAAACTTAACATTAGATAAAAAACAGATTGCAAGTAGATAATAACTTCAATAGATAGCAATAAAAACTTGTGCCCAAGGAAAAAAATAAAATAAATACAAATACAATATATATACATATATCTTTTTGAAAACCGACAAGGAGTCTGAGAAAGGATCTGGGACATCTCCGTACCGACTAATGATCCAAACTATCTGCGATAGACAACATGACAACATTCTGAACCATAATTTCTACCATGTAAAATAGCTCATGGGAGCTGAGTTGGTGCTGGGGGTCTCTAATACTGATGCAGTAAGATCTCTGGGAAGTCAATCCTACTGTTAAATATCTTCCACAAGAGCAAGGCCGAAGCTGCAATTGTTCTATCTTACAAAGAGACTTTGACATGTATATTCATTTTGAATATTTACATGCCCTCCTTTGTACCCTCTCAATCATGAGTGAGCTGCTGTTTGATCTGGGCGACCAAACAATACTAGCATACTCCAAATGGCATATGTATAGATTTGGCAGAAACAAGCCTGTGCAGATATTGCCAAGAAGATACAGCGGTACATGTCGTCTGTTGGTGCGAAGGCCTATGTAGTCTGAGATTCCTGATCTTGGGAGATGAAAAGCCAGGGTCTAAAGGATACACTCAGGAGCCCTTGAAAAAGCTTTGTGGTCTGAAAACATGCCTTAAGCTTAAGAGTAGCTCTAGACAAAATAGAATGGAAATGCACAGACCAATAGTCACGGTGCACAGGTTGTAAAGAGGCCAGCTCGTATATAATCTCATCTAACCCACTTAACCAATGCTGTGTCTCATTTTGGTAGTGTGTGCACATATGTTCGTTTTCAAGCACACGCCACAGATTGTATCACAAATTTTCTCTGTATCACAAATCCGTATTACAAGCACCTCGCCTTGTTTGCTCTTAATGTACGAGCAAAACCAGGTAATAAATTGTTAGTTAAATTCATTCTATCAATAAATGGTAATCTGGTGTTTTGACAAATTTTCTGTTAAACCATCATAATTAAATATTTTGTTATTAAAACATCAATTTATGATGTAGTTTCATTTGGTTTATAATTTAATAAGCATGTTATGATTACCATAACGGCAAAAATACATATAGTTTTAAATAAACAACAAACAATATGAATGTCTGGTTCTTTTCTCTTCGACTGAACTCTATGAAAATCTGGACAGTGGAGAACTTAGTAGCATCGCAGGGTAGGATAGCGCTGTACATCAGATTGGTGTCGGGTGGTTTTGGGTCACGTTGCATTGCATTTTGTTCCTTGCTCAAGTACCTTAGGCATTGAGAAATAAGCAATTTCGGCTTATGAACAGAATTCTATTCTCCAACAAGAGCAGTTTGAGGTTATTCAACACTTAGAGGCAGTAAATGTTGTCTAACCCATCTTTATCGTGTCAGGAGAGCGTGCTGGCAAATTCATTCTGGTAATTTCTACATCCTCAAGTAATGGCTGACAACTAGCCCTACCTGCTGTAGAGCATTAACACAAAGTTGTCCCCAATAAAAGGAATGAATAGGATCACAGGCCTAACATACCTTTTTGCAGTCAAAGATCCATTCTGTATGATAATCAGTTTGGTAGGGGCATGGAAGTTGATTCCACCCAATATTATAACATACTGTCTGAAAAGGCTGTGACTCTTGCATAACACAAAGCGTTCTCCTCATATGGTCCCGGTCATCTGATTATCCCAAACTAAGCCGGCACTCATCCGTGAAAGCCCGATTGTTGAAGTGTACAATTTGTGCCTTTTAACTTGCTACCTCTTCAATGCTAGAGAAGCTTATAAGGGACATCTAGAGACTAGACTATTCTTACAAAGCCTGTTTAAGAGATCAATTACTTTACAGACCATTTGGAGATTACCTACCAAGGAAGCCATTAAATGACTGTAAGAACATTAAAACGATCATCTCTTGCCATTGTACATTGCGGTCAACCACTACCTTCTCTTCGATTAAGCCAGTGGCTCTAAACCATCGTGGATAGTAAAACAAAGCACACCCAGGTCATGTATGTAACAGATGCTATGTCCATCATTGGCCACAGCCTCTGGCTGAGCGAGATTTTCACAAATCAAAACCATGCTTTTAAGAAAGAAAAAATTATTAATTTATTTCATCAAAGAAAACAATATTTTTTTTAAATTGACTCACTCAACAAGTTGGCTCAGGAAAGGATGAAATAGAACTTATTTTCTTTACTTTTAATCTAAAGAGTGTAAAAGCAAGCACAATGATAATTAATCAAAAATAAGCAATTTAAAATATTGTTTATTAAGGTAATTGGGAGCACAGATGCTTAATTGTTTTGTTTTTTTAATGTTATAAATATTTTATTTTAAAATATAAATTTATATATACAGTCTTTAATTGTAACAAATTGGCTAAATAACTATATATAAACCAATATTTCATCAAAAACAATAACAACTCGCACATAACAACTAATTAACTAAAGTGTAAAGTAATAAAATCAACAATTTCCACAAACGAACTAATTCAGACTTTTTATATAATTAAAAAAAAACTTTTTATTTGTCCCATGATATTGCTATTTACTTATTGTTATGAATATACTTTTTAGGTTTTGATTTTGCTGTTATAAATATTACAAAAGCTTTTTATCAAAAATACAGAATTTTTTACTATAGTATTAGATAAGGCTCCTTTGAAAAATTGAAAGTTTGGTTTCTGTGAATGATAATAAATAAAATACAAGTTGAAAAATCTCTCACACAATTAAAATATCACTATTAGTTCAACAAAAAAATCAAATATCTCTTAAGACTGTTTACAATTCAATTTAAGACAAAAATCTTTCCTAAAACTTAACATTATGTAAAAAGATATGAGCATAAATATCTATACATAGTCATCACTCATTTATAGTGAAACTATAATGTTGTCCACTCATGAGTAATGCATACTCAATTTCCTTATTTAAATTCAAATTCAGCTACTATTTCTTTTGAGTCTCCTTTTTATATTGTACAAACAATGTTTGAATGTCTTTCAAAGCCTGTTCGATGTCTAAAGCAAACTTGCTCGAGTCCTGAAAAACAAGAATCATAAGTAAAAGCATAAGTTAAATGTTAAATTTATCAGCTTACAGTCTCTGGGCAACTTTTCTTGCTAGAAATGTGAAAAAATAAAATATCTTCTCCAGCGACTATATATGATACACCGTAGCCGTCATCGGCCACAGGTCCAAAACCACCACCTGCAGAAATACACCTTGGAAATTTTTTCAGGTCTAATTTTGATGTTTGGCCGTGTGGCGTTTGTGATGTAGAAAGCCTCCATGGTTCACTTAGCACCTCCTACAATTATATATAAAATAAATGCCCAATTTTTTAAATGTGCACTCAAAGACAAAACCAAACACTTTTATTTATTAGTTTATTTTCTATGGTAACTAGGTATGAAGATTAACAGTTGATTTAAAGCATAAACACAACATTAATGACTTTTGTTTATGTTTATAAAGTAGTTACCATTACAAAGTTACTAATCCTTTTACACTCTTTAGATTAAAAATAAAGAAATCTGTTCAATTTTATCATTTTCAGAGCCAACTTGTAAAATGAGTTAATTAATTAAAAATTAGTTTTTTAAACTGTTTACTTTGATGAAAAATAAATTTGAGTAAAATACTCAATTTTTTTTCTCTCAAAAGCATGTTGAGATCTTGCCCAGATGCTTTGGCCAGTGAGCAGCATCCCTTAGCCTAAGTCCTGGGTGTGCAGTGCTCTACCATCCACAATGGTCTAGAGAGGTTTAGGTCTACCGGAAGTATCGATAGAAGAGAAAGTAAGCTTCCTTGATAGGAAGCCAACTCAAAATTGTTTGTAATGAAGGGGTGAACTCTCAGTCATTCATGAGAATAGCATAGTCTCTAGACATCCAGTTTTTCTACTACTGGAGAGGCATCGATAGAACAAGGCGACTATTTGCAAATCAGCATCTGCCTTGGACACTTTAACAAGGGGCTGTTATAAGCTGTTAAGCTTGGTTTGTGGCAATCAGATAATCAGGACTGTTTGGAGAATGTTTTGCTTCACATGCCATGTATGAACGTGAGTCCCAGCCTTTTCAAAGACAGTCAGTTATGGCATGGGGGGAATCAAAAAACCAGTCAATACCGAATTGATTATGATGCTGAATGGAATTTTGACTGCGCAAAAGTACATTGAGGAAGTTCAGGTAGATGACCCATTCACTCTGTTTATTAGGGCCTACATTTAGGTTGAATTGACACCCATTTTTTGGAGGATGTAGGGATTACAACAATGGATTGGCCAGCAAGCACTCTGGACATAGTAAAGTGTGTTAGACATGATTTGCCACCTCCAACAAGCATTGAACAGCTTCAAACCACACTTGTTGAAGAATAGTATGATATTTCACAAGACAAAATCCGGTTGCTTATTTAATCAATGCCTAGGAGACTTAAGACTCGCCAGGATGCCAGAGGAGGTAATATGCGTTTTTAATAGCAAAATCATATAATAAATTTTTAGTTAAAATTTAATCTAACACAAATGATTTTGTGGGGTATGATTGGATACTATGTGTCTCTAATAGCCTCTAATATTCAACTCCGACTTTCCACCTTCTCAAAGCTTATGTGGGTGGATCACTAATATTGGACCAAAGCTCAACAAAAAACTAGCTACCCAAACACAAAGCAGCATACAAAGATGATCAAACCATGTATCACATGGGTAATGAGAACAACCCTACAAGTGCACTAGAAACTCTGTTAAACCTACCTCCACTGGAAACATTCATTACAAAGAGAAGCAACGAAAAGCTCATTGAGGCTCTAAAAACAATCAAATTGGATGGGAACTAATCAATTCAGGTTCACAACCATAAATAATAAAATCCGCTTCCTAGTATCCATCATCATCATCAAACGATTTTCAGGTGTTTTGGTAAAATTTCTTTCAAACTAACATAATTATATTTTTAATTCATGAATTTCTGATCTCATTTGGTGGTTTACATTAAAATAAGTATTTTGTAATATAGCAATAAAAAGACTGAAATAAACAACAAAATTCGAGTCTGGTTTTTGACTTTGATTGTAAATTGTATAGTTACTTTTAAGAATGGAGAATCAACTTCTAAATATTTCGAAACCACATAGAGGCAAAAGAGGTGTCTGTCAATTCCTTTTCCACACATCGCATCTTGGTATGCGAGTTGATGTTGTTTGCAAGCTTTCTGCAGAAGGGCTACTTTTTCTTGCGTCTGAGAAATTAATTACAATGAATGTCAGCGCTGATGTTTAAAAATCAAATATGTTTACCGTTTTCGATTTATCTTCCATGGCTTTAACCCATGCAGAAGATTCAACTGTACAGGGGCGTACAGTTTCAGTCCGTCCTTCTCGATAAAGTCGTGTCATTGATGCTTCATATGTCAAGCTGAATTTTCCAGCATTCTAAAACAAACAGAAGAAATTAAAAAAAAAAAAGCTTAAAATTGTATATATTAAGAATAGTACAGACTCTATAATATGCAAGCTGGAGTGCCATTTGGATATAAGCATCCGGGCTAAGACGACAAGTCTTCATAAAACCTTTGCCATAATTTGTGTGCATGTAGATTCTTAAGTCAACATCACTAATAATTTTTTGGACCACCTGAAATTTACATTTAAATAAGGTTTCTTAAGACATTAAGACACACAGAACTCAATACTTCAGCTTAATATTATATGTCAAAATTAAACTAACTTGATTTGCGCTGTCAATAGCATTGAGACAGCCAGGCTTGAAATCCCAATGCAACCTGATTGGCGCAGGAGGTTTGAACTCAGGCACTCCAAGAGTGCGTCCGTCCGGACCGTACCTACATTAATAAATTTATATATTATTACTCCTGTTATGAAATAACAATTTGAACTGTATATTTATCTCAAGAAAAGCTGTTTAGTTGGTTGAGGCAATACAATGCACCAATTTTAAAAGAGTACAAACATTTATCTTTCAATGACATTATCTCATGCAGAACTTATAAACAAAAAGCATGTAAATGTTACAGTACAAACAGACACAAACACTAACGAATTAAATAATTCTCAATACTTCTAAATTGTTTATGATATTAAATCCATGCAAAGGAAAATTATACCAACTCCATGCAAGGTACAAAAAACTGATGCATACTGCAGATTTTCAATATGATATCTAATAAGAATAGGCTACTGTCATGGGGTCACCGATTTCAATGCAACTTTTTTACTGACAACTTGGTCGAAAAATATTAGACATGTGTGCGAAGGTTCCATCGAATGGGCCCCCAGGAGCCAAGAAAAAAATTTTGAAGTTTAGGTTTTTAGGTATTACATCTGATGTTCTCTTGAATTCTTCTTCTCCTTCGTAGTCTGTTGAGACATTGTAGGATGTAAAAAGTGTTTCCGGGATTGTTTAGTCAGTCCCTATTTCTTAGAATGGCTCATTTTATTGATTGTGTTGTGTGCCTGAAGTTTTAAAATGTATGTATGAAGTAAGAAATTAAATTTGGAATCTTTTTATCAATTAAGACATTTTGAAATTAACTAGGGCCAGTGTACACCGCAATATTTAACATTTTATTACCAGCTTCCTGGCACTAATTTCGCCATATTTTTATATACACATCTAACACTTTTTTTTAGTTCTAACATTCATTGAGAGCTGTGAACAGTGCCTGCTCTGTTAACGCATTGTCATATTTACTCCTAATTGTTTTTTTTTTTTGTTTTTTCTTGGCTCCTAGAGCCAATTGGATGAAATCCTCGTATATGGATTTAATATTTTTCAACTGTATATCATTAAAAAAAGTTTATTGGAATCTAATGATCCCACGACCATAGCCTTCCCTTGTCACAAGCACGTTTGCATTTTTTAAAAAATAAAGAATACTCTTGTTAGGATTTATATCTTAGCCATGAAAATAGATTTTTTTTTTTAAATAAATACCTTCATATACAATTATTAGCACTCAACACACTTGACGGACCATAAAACAATAGCGCATTTTATAATTTTGAACATTTACATAAAAATTTATTTTAAACATTTAATTATAAACAGCATATGTTAAAGGAAAATGTTCAATTTTATCAACTAAATTATTGATATATTAATATTAGCAGGAAATAAAAACACCTCCCTCAATAGAATGAGATTTCAAATAGAAATAAAACACATATTAGTTAATTAATTTAAAAAATAAAATAAAATAGCCCATATTAGAAAAACTGAAAATTTACTTTAAAAAATTCAACATCACAATTTTATATGCAAACTCCATATAAAGGACACATTGTTATCGCAAATTAACGTAGGACATAAAATAAAAAATCTTTTGTATCTCATGAAATTACCCATCAAAATCTGCTGCCACATATTCCCACATGTGGCCCATCACCGGAGCATCAGCCCTACACCAAGTTCAAAAAAATAAAAAAGATGCAAGAAAAAGATACATAAAAAAATCAAAATATTACATTAGTACACATTAAACTACAATTGTGAAATATCCTGTGCTGGAAAAACAAAATTTATGAAGTAATATAAGTTAACAGGCAAATGGTAGCAATATACAGCGATTAAATGGAAAATGTTTATGGATGCTTGTTGAATATGTGCTCTTTCTTCCTTTCCCAATTACCATTCTTGTCCTGCTTCATCTGAAACAGCGAACTCCCAAAGGTGTGACATTATGGCTGCATCCGCCCTGGAAATCATGTTAATGCTCAACATACATATCATTTAGCACACAACTGACCAGTTTACTTCCTTGTAGACATGGATGTTTAATTTAATGCTTTAACGCTTATTTCAGAATAAACAAAACATCATTATTTGTTTGAGTTTATCTGAATCGAAGCTTTAGCATGATTAACATCTTCAATAGCAATAAGTTGTAAAAGAAATTTCATATTATTTAAGGATCAGAGAATTAGAGGACCACTGAGGTTAGATTATTTTATTCTTACATCAGTAGAAATAAGAATGATGCTAAAATTATAAAAAATTTGAAACAATATTATAATATAATAATTTTTAAATACAAATTTATATTGTTTTATGTAAAATATCACATTTATTTAAGAAGCATAGTGTGAGTAGTATAGTATAAGAATAAAAAATTATTTAAACAATTAATTTTTAAAAGTTTACAGAGTAATAACAAAATAATTAATTAATTAAAATTTAATTAAATAAAAGACTACATTATAAAAAGTTAAAATAAAAATTAGTAATACAATCCCTGCCGGTTTATACGTGCATTACAACTCAGCAGTGTGCACTTGCTGTTCAAGTACCTCGAGGTTTCAAGTGTAAATTATTAGTGTAGATGAGGGAGATCCCTGGGGACTGGATCCTCTGGGGTGTGTAATGGATTCGGATTTATATAGGCTCAAATCCATAGATGTATGTACATACATACAAACATGTGCCTATTCGCCCCTTGTAATTCACCGTTAACTCGAGAATTGCCCACCCCAAGTGTTGGCAGTGCTCACTCTTATCCGTCCAGCCACCAAAGTTGGACCCTGAAGGCTGTTAACAGCTAGGTCAATTTAGCTCCCAAAGTTTGCAGTTCCAAACCCATTCATACTCGCGTTCATTCTTAAATACATTCAATCCTTTAAATATCTTTCATTCAATTAGAGTAGTGGGATACACGATATTCTGTCATCGACCCTCTTACATCATACATTCATGCTAATAAACATTTTCATACTAATAAATATTTTTACTCACAACACAAGCTAGGTACATAAAACTATTATTTAGACTATATACAAAAGAACAACTGAATTTATTCTAAGAATCGGAACAGGAAACCCAAATACTGGCTGCTGTTCTCAAGCACAATTCTCAAATTGGGCAGCATTCCTGTATACGGCTCTCTGGAGCCAAGGAATTGCACCCTTCATTTAAGTGGGACACATCAAGCAATTCCTCTACACATGGCTATGACCCAAACGTAAATTTGTGTGTGCCAATCTCGCATGGTCTATACTTAATTGGGTGAGGATGACCATTCTTCTATAAGTGAGGTCCTCTAAGGTTCACACATCAACATTGTTCTTGATAAGCAAGAGCTTCTCTGTCGACCTGGCCCATTGATGCCACTTCTTATAATCATGTTTTTAATTGCATTCATAGCATCAGAGGGCCGGATTGTGGTGGTTAAGTTTGGAGATTGAGGCAACCCAGCCTTAGCCGCCTTGTCCATTACATTACCCTTCAGATCTGTAACCCAGACAACAACCACTGTTTTCCGAGACCAGTTCGTAGTTCAAAAGCACTACTACAGCAGAGCCGCATCGTTTCGAATCACCCCAAGTGTGTGCCCATTTGCATAAAGTTCTGCTGTGTAAATGCTACTGTGTGGCAGGAGTGACCACAAGGTGGATGCACGCACCCTCGCGATTCACAGAACACACCACACCTTCGTCAATCTTGACCTGTCTATAAAGACAAGCCAAAAACCAGTATGCCTTGGCTAATGCATTGAGATCTTTCTGGATGAATACGGCAGGAAGGACTCAGGGCGGAGTTAGCCGGTTGCCTGCTCAAGAACCGTTTCAAGTGTCCCTAAGTTTTTCCTCCCTAAGGATTCGCTGAGGCATATTCCTAGAGGTCATGTCCAGGTCTAAAGTTGCTTATTCTACTGTACTGACATCTAAAGATCGCACTGGAAAGTGCAAGTCCCGGATATGTGTTGATAAAACAAAATCAAGCACAGCAGCAAGTCAATTATTTTCAAGAGGGTCTCCCCACCTGAAGTGACTAATGAGCTTTAATAATGTTATTACTTTCCTTCCCTTCACCTTGGCGGCGTCAATGAGTGTCTGCCATCAAAGGTTCTAATCAAGAGTGAGGATGAGGAAGCTCACCAACTCATAGCAGCATCCCTCAGGCAGAGCCACAGAAGGCTGTGGGCCCTCCTCAGCCTGTAAAAATGGGCATCTACAGACATACGGTTTTCATCGCAGAGAAGGTGAATCCTGTTTCCTAGGTACTTCCAGCCACAACGTTTATTGCTGACTGCATCACCCCTTTGAACTCTGCTAGGTCTTTCCCCAAAAGGAAAAAGAAGAGGTCATCGATGTACAGTGATTGGTAGAAGACACCGTCATGATACCGTTCACCATGAATAGTGTAATGCTTATCACTGAACCCTGAGGGAATCCATTTCTTTGAACAAAGTCCCGGAGAGCACGGACCCAAATCTCCCACACAATCTACGGTTCGTAAAAAAAGCCTCAAGAAAATGGAGTAATTTGCCTTTAAATCCGATATCTCAACATTCCACAATAACAATATCTCCATGTCGTATCATACGCTTTCTTGAGGTCAAAGAACACACTTAGAGTGTGCTCTCTATTCAGAAATGAAATCTGAATATCACTCTTGAGAAGGTAAGCATGATCGACTGCAAAATGTCTACAGAATCCCACCTGATACTGGCTGTAAAACTCTTTTGCTTCCAGACACCAGGTAAAAAAACTGTGTATCATGTACTTCACTCAGGTTGTCAGGGGGATCAGCCTGTAACTTGTGCCAACCTTAAGGGCAGGAATGATCAGTACCTCATGCCAACAGTCAGGATAGGAGCCCATGCCTCTATGTTGTTTCCCGCACTCTGGGGAAGGTTTCGCAGCATTTTGGGATACCATCGCACCTGGGGCTTGAATTCCAGGTGCGTCCCAACACAGCTTCCAATTCTCCAATCATCGGCGGATGGTTATACACCTCTCTCTCACACGGCCATCAAAATCACACTGGATTCTTTCTGTTTCAGTTTTCATTCTACAGAAATTGTCAAAGTAAGCTGTGGAAATTGACCAAGCTGCAAGGTGTGCCAATTCCCCAGTGACATCCGAAGCCTTGATTATGATCCCATGCTCTGAACCAAGTACCAGCATCAACCTATTCAGGCAGAGAGAGCCCTGATCCTTCCACCAGGCTTCCCCAGACAAAGTATTAAAGTTGATTTCTTTCATGTGCTTTGCTAGGGATTCCCTTTTGACTTGGGACAGTATACACATGCCTGGCTCATTTTACTTTATACATAATCAGATTTTCCTTTGTCAGATGCCTTCTGAAGCATTGAAAAGCTGACTATTTCTTCACGTGCACTCATGTGCAGACCTACAGGTAGACCCACGTGTCTGAGGGATCAATAAGCCTGCAGCCCAGTTGATCTCCTTCTCAATAAATCGAAGAACTCTGTTCACGTCTCCTGTGAGGGTAGAAAACATCAATGACATGGAGAAAAGCAGACAATTCGCTTGTTTAAAGGCCCATCTAGCTGCAACATGGTACATCTATCTTGCAACAAAACTCCTCAGGACTGTCAGGACGTGGTCACTCAAGTGGGGGTTCGTCACTCTACCATTGTTGCCAGGGAGGACAAGCCTATCAACAGGTCAATCGCACTAAAACTTCCAGTACTTAAATCAATATGTGTACCAGTGTCTGGGTCGAGACAGTCCGGTTGCCAGTGGGAATAGATGGAAGAGTAAATATTCAGTAATGTCCAAAACCATGATGCCAGATGGGCACTCTTGGTTCTCCTACTGCTGGCTTTTCACTGAGACATTGCAGGCAACATTGTCCAGATTTCAGCCGAGAACAGTTGTTATCGCTACTGATGCTTCAGGAAGGGTGAAAATCTGTATATGTATAACGTGTCTTATTTCATTAGACAATTATTTTAGTAATATGACGACTTGAGGTAGCAATAAGTTAACAAGCAAAGATAACAGGAAACAAATTATGAGAGAGTCAGCGAGAAAGAAAATAACACAAAATTTTCCATTTTATGCGCAGAGGGCTGCCAATTATCATTAGATATTTGTCTGCCTTATGAACTAATAAAGTACTACTACTGGGGGGGGAAAAAAAAAAAAATCAAACCACTTTTAACTTACCAAGAATGCTCAGAATTGAAGCCAATCTACAACAAAAACCATAGTATATTGTAAAAATATTCTCAAGTTCAAATTGATACAAATGTACAAACTCTTACCCTTCCATTGTTTCCAACACACAAGGTGAAAGATTTGTCAAACCATCTGTCATAACCCTTTCCATGAAGTAAATTTCTTCCATAGATGTCTAATTTGTGTGGTTCCTTCTGAAATGCCATTTTGTAAAGAATTCATTCAATAATAAGTGCAGTCAGATTGAAAAATAAAATCTACCTCATCAAATTCATAAGGAATGTCATCCAAGGCAACGACAAAAGCAGATTTCTCAATAGCATCAAGACTGTGTCGATTGGTGCCTTTGAAAAAGTGCTCCTGCCTCGTATTGGCCCAATGCGTCCTCTCACCTGCAGTGAGAGCAGCAAGCTTTTCTTCTCCTTCAACAGGTTCAGATTTGTCCTCCAAAATCATATTTATCTGACTGAAAAATGGACAAAAAGTTAACAAAAACATTCACAATTATTAATAGCTAAATATGGGACCCTTACATTTCAATTTCACAAGGCAAAAGAATTCTATTTTTGTAGTAAATTAGGACCTTAAAATATCTCCCTTTGTGATAAACGACAATATGCTTTGAATCGGAGTAGTGAACAATTTTATCTGTTTCCACTCCTGGTTCCCTTGTTGTATTGAATACTCTTTCGTATTGCCATGAACACAATGGAACTATCCCTTGAAGTAATATCTACAACGTACATAATTATTTTATTTTTTAAATCAAAATTTTTTTAGATATTCTTACAGGTTCTAATTCCTGTCTTTCTATTAATCTCCTGTACTGGAGTATCGTATGAATGACAGTAGCAGCTCTGGCTGCCTGGTTGTTTGTGTGAAACATGAGTAATGTATCTATTCCGTAGAAATTTGAATTAACGACTAAAGGAGATCTACCACGGAGATAAACGTACTCCTCCCACCAATCAGACACATAGTTGCTAGACCACCTAAAATATATATTTAAAAAAAAACATTAATTTAAAATGAAAAAGTAAATCTTTACTGTGATCGATATAAAAGAAAATTACCATGATTTTAGAGCGAGGTATCTTTGCAATTTCTTGCCGATTCCATTTTGAAATTCTTTAGCTAACTTTTCCATACGAATGTATTGTTCATCATTTAGTAGAGGACGGACACTTCTTAAATACTAGAAAATTATTTTATATTGTAAAAACCAAGCAATTTGTTGTGAGACTTCCTCTTGGGGTCTGAGGGGTGATGAACCATTTTATGATAGACCGAGCAATGAAGATTGCGAGAAACCTTCATCTGACAGACGAAAACAACTATAGGCAGACCGAATTTTCTTTGTTTCTGGTTATCCTGATCTCTGTTATGGTCTGTTCTCACAATTCAACATTTAAACATCTTCGGAGGTGAATTTATATGATTTTCATTTTTAAACCAAAACCTAGATCACAATGATCAGAAATAAACTGCATGTTCACCTCGCAGACTTCAGGAAAAAATCGCAAAATATACAGGGTGTCCTTTCTTTTTAGATGGCTCGGCTAAATTTCTCTTGAACAGAAAACTTTACCCACCAAAAAAGTATTTAACATTTTTCAGTCTAGTTGAAAATTTGTTTAAAAAATTATAGGGATAATTTTAAAAATTCAGGACCAGTACAGCTTCAATAATTCAAATGTTCAATAATTCCTAAACCTACTGGCATGTTATTTTAAAAGATTTTTATGCTGAAATCAATGCTGCATTTGATTTTAAACTGGTCATAAAAATAACAAAATTATGGTACAAATTTGGTTATTTAGTTTGTTTCATTATCAATTCCAATAATTTGCTTTCTTACTGTAGTGAAAACATTACATTTTTTAAAAATAGTGATTTCAATGATTTCAACAAGGGAGCTGCAGATTTTATTAAAATCAAAATTCCTCTTTCCATAATACTGGAAGGGTTTTTGAGTTTTTTAAACAAAAAATTTGAAAAGTACTCCAAACGTACAATTTTAAGGTGTATCGCTCTCATTTGTCCAAGTGTTTTGGGACACTGATTATGACAGGTGTTCATTGCAGAAATGCTGATTTGGGATACTGAAGGAAAAAATAATTTAATAGAAGGACTAAAACGAGGTTCACTACAAATGGTATACTGAATCAGTGGAATTTTCAAACCTCCAAATTTGCTCGATGATCTCCTTTGCAACAACAACAAAGAATGATCTCCAGTTTGAGAGACCTCATAGGGGTGGTTAAAAAGAGCATTCTTTGCACCATAAATCAGGGCAGGCAGTTTGAACTGTAATGAATTTTTTTAAATTATTTTATTTTGTCCATAAGATATTTTCAACAATTTCTTATCTTTAAACAAAAAGTTATCTTGGTAAAAAATTAAACAAATTGCTAACAAAATGATGCGCTTTTTTCCAAAATTATGTTATTATTTACCAATTTAAAATCAAATTGAGGCATTGATTCCAGTCCTTTAAATTGATGTGCTGGATGATACAGGGTTATATCTGAAATTCTGAAATTTTAAAGTTGTACTCATCCTGAACCCTAGTATATATATATATATANTTTTTCAAAAGCAAGTAGCACTGTGGTGATTACCAAGAAAAAAAAGCAAGTAGCAATTTTCATCTGAATTGAAACATTAAATATTTTTTCTTTTTTTTAAATTTTTTATAATGATATCTGTCCAAGGGAAAATCCAGGTCTTCTAAAGAATGACGCTCTGTATTTAATATTTTCATTTAACCCCTTAAAATAAGTAACAGTGATATACATACACGACACATCGTTTCAGGTACACTGGGAAGTGGCAATCTGGGAAGTGAGCCCTGAAAACTGTACAACATCGGTTTACTTGGGCCTGTCAGTGTTTTCACAGCCATAACCCAAAGACGGGTTTTCAGTGATATTTTGCTTCCAGGTCCTCTTTCTTCATACATCCAACCTAAGCATAATTCATTAAATTATTTTCTGAACAGAATAATGATTTTATATAATTAAAACACACCTTTGTACATGAAAAGCAACTTCAATGCATATCTTAAAGAATATGTCACGCCCAACCAACACGCAACTGAAAATCCGCAGCACGCCATTATTTGATTCTTTGTTGACTTTCTAAGAAATATTTTATAAACGTTTAGTTTTATTATAATGAATATTTTCTGTAGGGAATAAACATATACATACTCTGGCATATATAACAGAAGCTCTTCTATATAAGGGATTTTAACTCCTGCAAAATGGCATCCTGTCATAACAGCAACAGTCGCCCATAGACTGTTAACAGGAGATGGAAACAGTCCACTTTTTAAGTTATTCTGAAAGGAAAAATAAAATAAAAATCTACTCACATTTAAATTATCTAGAAATGGGAAGTAATCTATTTTTAGGAGTGGTGAGTGGGCCTAGATTAAAAAAAGTGATGGGGGCTAAAATGACCTAGATGTTGACAGCTCTTGTAGCGCAACTTCAGCATGCCCCTGACTGCCAAAATCCGAGTTGGGTGTTTCTCCTGGCTTGCTGGTAATTGTACAATACAAAAAAAGCAGGTATTGCCAGCAGGCCGTGAGAATTCAGTTCAACTCTGTACATTTGCAGAATTTCCTTATAAATATAATGTCCAACTACAGGTCGAGTGTCTTGGACAATTGGTCAACCACTATACAATACTTTCTCCATATTATTCACAATTAAAACTTTATGTGTGGTGATTAGTGACCATTAATCGATAATTATTCAGCAATCGTGTGATGCGGTCTGGTGTGATGTAGGTTTCAGAAAAACATTTTCTTTATCGTGCCAACGTTCAATCTTTATTGAAATCATCTTCAGGGCTCAAAGTGTTTGTCTTCTGTGACATTGTACCATTCATGCGTGTCGTGTTGAGAGTGCCGTGAATAATAAAACTTACAAAAAAATTTATAATTTTAAATTCCAAATGAACTACTCAAATGAAATTACAGTAGAAAATACAAGCGGCATCAGACTGGGACAAAAACCTTTGGGAGGGTAGGGATGATACTGGGAATGATATTAGAGCTGGGCAACCAGCTGACTCCGCCTGGGTACTTCTGGCCTTACTCATCCTGGACAATACCGCTGAGTTAGCCAAATCGTCAACTCTGCCATACATTTACCAATCTAAGTTCCAAGAACTATGCCGGTTTTTGGCTTGGCTTCACAGATAGATCTAAGACTGGTGAAGGTGTGGGGTGCACCTGTATTGTAAGGGTGCATCCATTTCATGGTCGCTCCCCCTCATTGTAGCATTTGCACAGCAGAATTGTTTGCAAATTGGGACACGCTTGGGGTTATTCGAGACAATGGTGGCTCTGACTACCTAGTCTACACCGACTCCCTCAACGCAGTTGTTGCTGTTTGTAACAGGTCTTCCGTCGACCCTCTCGTAGGGGTCTTGTTGGAAAGATACCTTGAACTAGAGCATCTTGGCAAAACAGTGGTTGTCTGGGTACCCGGACAAGGCACTTAGGTCTGGAAGGTAATGAAAAGGTGTACTTGGCGGCTAAGGCCGGGACATCCCAACCTCCGGCCTTAACCACCATGAGCCTCCTGACATCAAAAATCCAATAAAAACATGAATATAATAAAGTGGAGTGTCAGTGGGCTGGATCAGCAAAAATCTTACGAGAGGACCTGACTCATAGAAGAAATTAAGAATAGGCCATGCAATGTTGACATGGACACTTTTAGGCCGAAGCCTGCATATGTGGAGAAAGGTTTGCTCGATGTGTCCAATCTAATTGAAGGGTGCAATTTCTTGGCTCCATATAGAGGGATGCCACCCGATATGAGACTGGGTTTGAGCACCGCAGCAAGTATCTGCGTCCCTTGTTTCGATTCTTGGAGGAAAGTGTTGTTTTATTGTATTGTACATAGTAATGATAGTTTTGTGTCCCTAGTGTGTGTTGAAATGGAAGAATATTGAATACTTCGACAATTGAGTGAATGGTAAATAAGAATGAATTTAAGAGTGAGTAAAAGTGGAATGGATTTGGATTTAGGAACTGATTGCACTGAGGGTTGAAACGATCTGGCTGTTGATAGCCCTGTAGCCCAACCTTGGTAGCTGGATGGATAAGACCGAGATCTGAACCTGGACTTTTAACATGCCGGTTAGGTAATTCTCAAGGCCTCCGGTAATTTATTGTAAATTACAAATGGTGGAGTTGCCAATGAGCTACTAGAAGTGATTTAGTAAATCGGTACTCCTTTGAAATTGTGTGTATTTTCTGCATTAAAACAGACTGATGGTAGTCATAGACATTTTGGCTGTTCTGCATACAATAATACATCAAAATGTATCATTGCCAAGACAATCACATTTTCAATGACATCATTATGAAAAGTGTTTTTATATTTGAAGAAAGTCTACATCTCAGGTCACTGACAATACACCTAATCTCCATCATCGATCTACTAACCTTCCTTCTGTGCCCTACAAAGTCCTTTCTGTCATCATTTACATTATACTAACAGTGTATTAATATAATTTAATTAAATTTACTATTGAATAAGAACATGGAAGTCCTGAAACTGTGTTGGTAAACAAATCAATTGGAAAAACAGAATTAACAGAAATTTAAAAACAAATTAACTGTTAATACGAGTATGGGAATGAAATTATCAATCAGTACGTAATCTTACATCCCCAAAGAAAATCTAAATTTAATAACTTTACAAACCAAAATTTAATTTATATAATTTTTTTCTACAATAAAAAACGCACTTCCTTAATCTTGTATCAAAATAGAAATTCATTAGTGCCAAAACAAAAGTAGTTAAGGCTCACAACAAAACAAACAAGATGTGATTTTTGATAATATGGGAATAATAAGATAACAACTTGTTGCAACATTATGTGTTAATTGTTTAAACAATAGTAATTTTGCAACTTTTACAGAAATTAATTAAAAATTTAATTTCTTTTGATTATTTCCTCACGGCAAAATGAAGTGTATTTTTACTGTTCTAACAAATATTAGCATTCCATTTTTTAAAATACTCAAAGAAATAGGCTAACCAACAAGAATAAATTACAATTATTGGAGTACCCCAATGATAGCAAAAGGATGTAAATAATCGACAAATCTGTATATATTTTGCTTGGTTTATATGTATTTCAATTGGAAAATATACAGTATTAACCTTAACAGGTGGCATCCTACAAGCTCTCTATATGGAGCCAAGTAATTGCATCCTTCAATTAGTTGGGACACATTGAGCAACATTTCTCTGTATACGGGGGGGCTTTGGCCCAAAAGTAAGTGTCCGTATGTCAATCTCACATGGCCTATACTTAATCGGGTGAGGATGACCCTTCTACAAGTCAGATCCTCTGAGGGCCACCCTTAAGGGCTCTTGATTCAGGAGAGTTTCTCTGCCGATCCAGCCACTGCCACTTGCTTTTAATCATGTTTATTATTGCGCGTTTTTAGCATCAGGGTGGTTAAGTCCAGAGGTTGGGATGTCCTAGTCTTCATCCACCTTTTGGTTACCCTCCAGACCTATATGTCTGGGTACTCAGACATTTTTTTTTTTTTTTTTTTAAGTACACATATTTATACAACTTTATATCAGTGTAAGTACAACGTTGAGGGCATCGAAATTAAAACAAAAATGAAGCAGATAGGAGAATCATGTTAAAAGATAATTTATTATATTTACGCGCCAAACTTTGGATGACAGTCGAAATTACAATTTGGTAAAAGGGGGTAAATGAAAAATACGCCCTGTAATGGCATTCACGACGAGCAGGGAATATTAAATTCCTCTCAAAGTACCGTGAATGGCTCAACAGACTGGTAATGGAAAATTTTAATAATCGCCAGCTTACCTTGAACCTCGCTAAACGCTTCTTCCAAGACCTTACACCGGACGCCCAGACCAGGTGAAGAACTTCCCGGTCGAAGTTGACGTCCCATCCTTCGTGGGTGATCGAAAAGGAAAAGGCAACGGCCGAATGGGCTTCCGCCATCGCAGTTTCACCAAATCAAATCTGAAAACAAAACAAAAATTGAGCTGCTAGCAATTTTCATTATTCAATAACTCTCGTCGTTAAATATATCTGATCAGATTTTTATTTTTCGAGATGAAATTCAATGCCAAACACAGCCGAGGAAGAAAAAACATTCTAATTGGCCTCGTACGTCATAATTTGTTTTTAGAACAAACAGGCTGCATGTTTACATGTTTGAAAGAAAAATATGTAAAATAGGACTTATGAGAAAATGCGAAAACAGTTAAGTTTACTTTAGAGCTTTTACGTGTATTGACCTTTTGGTTTGTTCTTTTCCGGTCATCGTGCCCATTTTGTCTGATAGAACAAATTTAAATCTGTATTAAAATAGGATACAATAAAAAAACATTATACAATGCTAGAAATTCATTTTTTTCCATATCATACATGTGTTTGTATAACTTAAACAATGGTTATAAATCCCAGGCTCTGAAGATGATCTCAATAAAGATCGAAACGTTGGCACAATAAAGAAAATGTTTTTCTAAAACATACTTCACACCAGACCGCATCTCACGATCTCCAAATAATCTAGAGCTTAATGTTTCGAGGTAGAAAAATGATCCCTTTTGTCATATAATTTTTTTTTGTGTGTGATCAGAAGAAGGCCCTATTATCATCACGCTAGTGGATGATAACAAAGAGACCCACCCACATGACGTAATTCTTGTTTTGGCTTGAGCTTAATCAAACTGTTTTCTTGATACAAAAATGATCTTTTTTTGTTATAAAACTGGTTTTTTGGTGATCTAATACAGAAGAAGACACTACTATGGATACACTAGGGTGTGAGAGTCCCACCGAAGAACATACATAAGACCGTACATATTCTGACTTTGATTTACTTAATTAAACTGTTTTCGAGATTAAAAAAATGAATTTTTTAAATTAATTTTTATTGTTTTGGTGATCTAATGTAGAGGAAGATCCTATTATCAACACACTAGTGTATGATAACAAATTGACCCACCCACGTACAAGAATATATGTACGTAGGTGGGTCTCTTTGTTATCATCCACTAGTGTGTTGATAATAGGGACTTCTGATCACACACAAAAAAAATTTATATGACAAAAAGGATCATTTTTCTACCTCGAAAACATTAAGCTCTAGATTATTTGGATAGCGTGAGATGCGGTCTGGTGTGACATAGGTTTTAGAAAAACATTTTTTTTATTGTGCCAACATTTCGATCTTTATTGAGATCATCTTCAGGGCTCAATAAAGATCAAAACGTTGGCATTATAAAGAAAATGTTTTTCTAAAACCTACGTCACACCAGATCGCGCCTCACGATCTCCAAATAAACACTAGTGAATCATGATAACAAATTGACCCAACGTACTAACTGTTTTTGAGATAGAAAAATGATCTTTTTTGTTATAAAACTGGTTTTTTGGTGATCTAATGCAGACGAAGACCTTATTATCAACACACTAGGGTATGATACAGAGAGAGAACCGACGGACAGATTGAACTGTGACACATTCTTTGCCCGAGTAATTCCGTAAACCAACCGGTCAACATTTTCCCAATATTTTATAAACCCATTCGTGGAGAAATGCGATGTCTCCTTTTTGGGTGGGCGGAAGAATGTGACGACCCGGTAGTGCAACACAAATAGAAAAGTATTTCAGGGTTCAAACCGTTGGCATTTCAATGGGCTCGAGCCAGACGGCCGTTATACGACGCATCTAGACATTCGGCCTTATAAATAAACATCAACGTACGAGAAAGTGTTGATGCCTACAAAGACGCACTTCGTTGTTTTCGAAGATAAAATATTTGAGATAAATCTCCAACAACCTTCTCAATAAGAATAAAAATTAAAGGATAACAAATTCCGACATTTCTCCCTGAGACCTTCGGCCCGTCATACTAGGATAATCGTAAATGACTACACGTTAATCGCCCCTTAGACCTCAATAGGAAATCTCACGTTTTAAAATCTAATAGACATAAAAACTCTATTATCACAAAAAGAAAAGAACAAAAATCAAATTGTTAGAGTAGAGAGAAATATATTTTCCTTCAGTTTTAATGAAAATAGGCTAGATTATTTTTTAAAGACAAATATCTCAATCTAAATATATTGATGTTATCAAAAAAACAAACTAATAGATAAGCTTTGATATTGTAGGCCTTGTTTAATCAAGAACAGAAATATTCTATTTACACTTTTTTTTGTTCTACTCTCAAGTATGACATATCTTTTTCAGGAGCTAGATTTATAAAAAGGCTTTAACATAGGATGCAGGAGTAGCGTTTGTTTGACAAGACTTGAAATAAACCGCTCGTAATGTGTGTTATTATGGTTCTCCGTCATATCCCTTTATACCTGCCAATTAACTGATTTTAACACACGAAACTGAAACTCTTACAGTAGAAAAATATAGGACAAAAAACAAAGTAAAGATTCGCCTAGAGAATTGCCAAACACAAGCCGTCATTGTTTTTAGTCTATTGTATTTTACACATTTTAGACCTTTACGAATCAACTATGACTGTATTTTCACAATGGACGGTGGAATCGAAAACGATAAAACTGAATAGAAATTGAAGTTAATAAAGTGATAAAAATACATGGAGCAAAACCATGACGTTTGGGAAATTAATCGCAGTTAATCATTCGATTGAGCAATCGCCTTATAATGACCACATTCCAACTGACGTCGATTTTGACATGTTCTGGATCTACATTTTACATAAAATTTCCTACTAAACATAAAAATTTCCAGAACAAGTTGATTTGTATTAAAAATGAAACTATTCCAAAACCAAATGCAATTTGTTTTTCAAACGATGTTATAATAATTCTTAAACAAATTCAGGCCGATTCGAATATTTCTTACCTTAATTCAAATATCGCCAAACCTATTTCAACATTTTATATAACAAATTGTATTTTAAATTTAATATTTCCGAACTCAACTGAAATTTTTCAAAATATAAATCAATTTTTCACAAATGAAATGGTAATACCAACCCAAATTCAACTTTTCCCAAACCAAATTCTAATATTTTTAAACATAATTTTACTTTTCCCAGTCTCCCATATTATTAATATCCCTAAACCAAGTTCTAACAATTTCAACCACAAGTTCATGTCTCGAAACAGAATCAAACTTTTACTTGCCCAATTGTAATAATTCGGGATCCAATCAACGGAAATCAACAATTCAAACCCAATTATACTTTTTTTCAACGGCATACTTCAACCCACTTCAACTTTTTTCCAAATCAAATTAATTTTTCATAAACCACTTGCTAAGAATTCCAAATCCAATTCTACGTTTTATGAACCACAATCGAATATTTCCAAAGCTAATTCAATTTTTCTTAACAAATTAATTTTTTACGAATCTAAACCTATTAATTCCAACTCCAATTAAATTTTCCCAGCATTAATCAATTTTTCGGAGGCGAAATTTTAATCATTCCAAACCCATTTCTATTTTTTTTAATCAATCGCATTCTAATATTTCCAAAGCTAAATCATTTTTTCACAAACCAAATGCAAATAAAATGTTGAACCCGATTCAACATTTTCGTAATCCAAATCAATTTTCCACAAACCTAGTTCTAATAATTCCAAACCAAGTTCAATTTTTTTTGTCAAACCAATTTTTTCACAAACCAAATGCTGATAATTCCAAATCCGATTCAACTTTTTTGTAATCCATATCAATTTTCCTCAAAGCAGATTCTAATAATTCCAAATGTAGTTCAATTTTTTTTGTCAAACCAATTTTTCAGAAACCAAATGCTGATAATTCTAAACCCGATTGAAATTTTTTGTAATCCAAAACAAATCTGCACTACCCAAATTTTATTAATTCAAAACCCAATTCAACTTTTTCCTAATCCAAATCAATGATTATTCGGAAATCGTGAGACTAATCACCATACATCCAAATCAATTTTCCACAAACCAAATTTTAATTTCAATTTAATTCCAAACCCAGTTCAATTTTTTTTGTCAAACCAATTTTTTCACAAACCAAATCGTGATTATTCCAAACCTGATTCAATTTTTTTGTAATCCATATCAATTTTCCACAAAACAAACTCTAATAATTCCAAACCCAATTCAATTTTTCTTTGTCAAACCAATTTTTCACAAACCAAATGCTGATAATTCCAAACCCGATCAACCCAAATTAAATTTGCACTAACCAGATGTTAGTTATTAATTCAAAACCCAATTCAACTTTTTCCTAATCCAAATCAATGATTATTCGGAAATCGTGAGACTAATCACCACACATCCAAATCAATTTTCCACAAACCAAGATTTTTAAACCTGGCCTAGCAATTAACTGTACCTTTATTTTCATAATTGACAGTGGAATAAATGAACGATATATCTTCGACACATTCCAGTTAATTTTAATTATTTTTTAAATTTTAAAGGCCAAAATTAGATTAGATTCGGGTTAATGCTTAACGATGACGGCATACTTGAAAAGTTTTAAAATAACCAACTACACGTGGTAATTCACGGAACCTGTAAACGGAAGGCGTGGTTATTCAACTAGTACTGGAGAACTTTCACTTCACTACTTCCAAGGATAAGAGACGGGGAATCTTTTAAGTTGCATTTTATTATATTTTATAGCACTCCAAGAAGAAATTAAATGTATTTTTGCGTACGCGTGTGTCATGGAATGAATGGGCAATGTCACGTTATGGTGTAATTGTCGCCTTATCAGCCGGAAGATAAGCTGTTGATTATTTTGGAATGAATGAGAAACACGCTTGGCCAAATACCACAATTTAGAAAAATCAATCAAAATCGTGGTTTATTTTCGAGAATATAATAAAAACGGATTTATAAGGTCAGAAGACGCGAACGGCCCAGAATGAATATCATCGTTTTCATCAAAATTCCTCGACCCTGCGGCCTGCTTTCTCAATCAAATCCCACCATTAAAACCAATTGTAACAATGAACTAATTGAATATCGAGTCACTACCGT